CTATTTCATTGATTTCTGCTCTGATCTTTATGATTTCTCTTCTCCTGCTGGGTTTAGGCTTTATTTGCTGTTCTTTCTCCAGCTCCTTTAGGTGGAGGGTTAGGTTGTGTACTTGAGACCTTTCTTGTTTCTTGAGAAAGGCTTGTATTGCTCTATACTTTCCTCTTAGGACTGCCTTTGCTGCATCCCAAAGATTTTGAACAGTTGTGTTTTCATTTTCATTGGTTTCCATGTATTTTTTTAATTCTTCTTTAATTTCCTGGTTGACCCATTCATTCTTCAGTAGGATGCTCCTTAGCATGGCTCTCTTTCTTCCCTAAAGGCATTTACTGTCTTGACTTTTATGGTATTCCTTTCCTTGTTTTCCCTTATAGGTTACCTCCTAAGGAAATACCCCTAAACAAATTATCATATTTTACTTGCTTTTGATCTTTATGTGTGTAATCATATATTACTCTGTAATCTTTGGCTTCTTTTTTCAGTATTATGTTTTTAAGATGTGTCTATGTTGCTGTAGTTAAGTTTCATTGCTGTATAATATCCCATTGTATAAAAACATGATGTGTTTTTTATCTGTTCTACCATTAATGGACACTGGGTAGTTTTCATTTTGGGGCTATTAGTGATTAATGCTGCATTGAATTCTTGTACATGTACGCTGGTGCATATAAGCATGCATTTCTGTAGCATTTTTCTGGAAGACGAATTGCTAGTTCACACTGACATGACATTTTACCATGCGATTTTCCAAAGTATTGAAATGCTCCCATTAGCAGGAGAGGAGAATTCCCATTGTTCCCTAACGTTGGCAATATTTGTTATTGTCAGAGTTTTTAATTTTTGTCAATCTGATGGATATATAGTGTTATCTTACTGTAGAGTTTTATTTTTGCATTTCCCCATGTTTGCAGGTTAATTTCAGCTAACCTGAAATCTGCTCTTTGAAACTTATGGGCATTTATGTATCTTTTAAAGAGTCTGAGATTAAAACGGCTACTTCAAAAATCAGAGTAACATGTCGTAAATATAGAATTAAAATATTAAGGTGTTCTGTGGCTACCCTTATGAAGCTAACTCTGAAACACAGTTTTGATTTTATTCATGAAGCCTCAAGCTGTTTGGATCCTGTTTCCATCTGTATTTCAAAGCTCATATTAAGCTACTTTTTGAACATTCCTCAGTCAATGATCTTTGTCCAAACCCAGTAAAAATACAACCAAAGCATAGCTAATGACTGCATCAGAGAATCTGCCCATTTTACCTACTTTGGATAAAGCTGCAGAAGAATGAAGAAGACACCCTCAGCCCTCCTGTCCCTGACTCTGACTCTGATGTACCAGGACAGGGTGATGAGGATGAGAAGGTGAACCAGATGTCTGCTACCTCTCTCATCCCCAAGAGCTGACCCGGCTCAGCCCCAGGCCACCTGGTACTCAGACCTCAATCACTTCTCCCCACGTCCTTCAGGGAATCCATCATTATTTTGTGGTTGTTTTTTTATTAGCAGAAAATTTTATGGGGAAAAATGAAGAAGAGGATTTACATCATGCAATGTACCTACTACAGATGTTCACAGCCAACTTTTTGGCTCTCTGAAATTCTTTCTCTCAGGGCTGCTACCATAACCCTTCTCTCCTTTCGTACACACATCCCAGTCTTCCTTGATGTCCTGGGCAATTCATTTCTACCCTCTAACTTGCATTCTCTGCTCAGAAATACAAAAGCCCTTCAATTCACATGACCCTACCCTTCAGAGAAGGCAATGCAGTTCTGTTAGCATCCTAACATGCTCTTGGGATCTTATCCCCTACCACCTTACAGTTTATAAAATACCCCTCATAGCCACAGAGAGTGTGAAGACAAGGTCTGATAAATACATCTTTGCCATCTTTTTATGTCAGCTTCCAAAGTTGATCCAAACCTTTGATCCAAACCCATTAGCCTCACCGCCACCACCCACCCCTTGCCAGAAGAGTTAACATGAACTGACAGGAAGTGAGTGACTTCCAGTTGGCTTTGACCACCAGCAAATTGCCCCAAAGGCAACTAAGAACATGAGGAAGCAGAAGCATGAATGATCCAGATGACGAGGCTCTGAGCTCTTAACACTCTGGGCCTGGGGCAGAACATCCAAGGCCTGACTGCAAGTTCTCTTGTCACTTTGCCTTCCCCTAAGTCTCAGGTTCCCTACCCTGGAGCACTCTCTGCTGCCAGAGGATCAAGAGCAGTGGAGAAAACGGACAGGTCTTCTGCTCTACGAGGTCTACGGACAGTCAGAAACAGTAGGTAGAAACAGTAGGTAGATGGTACTTTCTTGATCAGTCAGGATGTGCTGAGCCACTGAGCCCAGCAGACGAGCTGAACCATGTATATGCAGAGGCCCCACTCTGCTCACACATTGCCTGAAGCCAATGGGAGGCTTCAGAGTTCTAGGCTAATTTGCCCCAAATCAATTTGCACAAAGACAATTCACAGCTCATCAGTTTGTCAAGAGGCCAATGTCCTGAAAACTATTGGACAAAACTTTGAAAAGGGGTGTAAGGACATGGTGCTACCATCCCTGGGATCATTAGCTCTAGGGAGCCCAGGAGGGGTGGCGGGATGGGAGGTTCTCTCCAGTAACATGGAGCCCACCATCAGCAAGTCCTGCCTACTTCATTCCTTCCTAGGGTGGCAACCACAGGCAGCCAGGAGCTGGCCCCAGAAGTTCATTTCTGGATGCTCATGTGGACAGCACACAGGTTTGATTGTGGGACACTAGCTAGAGTGGGGGAGGGAACAGAGACTTTCTGTATATACCAACACACACACACAGACACACACACATACACACACACACAGTGTGACTCCCAAAGGCATCACTGACTAGCCAGGTGACAGGACATTCAGAGTATCAGGCATGTCTTAAACCAGAAAAACGTTATTAATGATAGTAGGGGCAGGGGCAGGTATCTTCCAACACAATTCTCAAGTCATTTCTGTTGCTGGGCCACTTTCCCCAGCCTCCTTGTTATCCCTGTAACTGACAGACAGACGACTACCATCTCAGGAGCTGGAGCAAAATGACTATTTTAGCCTCAATTCACATACTCGTCTTGACTTTTTTGCAAAAAAAAATATGCTTTTAAATCATCAGTTAATTGGTCCGCTTCCAGGCCTAAGAAATATTAAGACTCTAGGTTAGTTCTTGTATGGTTCATAGTTTATATTTGGACAAGGAGGAGGGTGGGATGAGAACTACAATATACCCATGATCCAGGTTCCTTTGTATCAACTCTTTGCAACAACAGAATACTGCCTCATACCCAGGTGGTGCTGTATTTCACAAAGTATTTGCATAGCCACTGACTCATCTCTGGGACATTTTCCACATGCCTGTACTGTGAGCAGCAACATAGCAAAGGAGGAAGAGCTTTCCCTCTCAGGAACTCAGACCCCGGTTCAAATCTCAGCTTGCCAATTACAGGCTTCAAGACCACTGGCATAGCACTGAACCTTCCAGAGTCTCTGCTTCTCTGTCTCCAAAATGGAAATATAACCCAGTCTCGCTGGGTTGTGATAAGGGAAACGAAAGGAAGTATATAAAGCTCTGGCTACAATGTCCAACCTCTTGTACATGCTCACCTTGCTGTTACTCTTGTTTTTAAGTAAGTGTTGCCCTAGATACTAGGGTAGTAGAGATGAATGGGGCAGTCTCTATTCTCAGGATGCTTGTTATTCACTGAGGGAAACAGACAAGCAAAAATAAGGATAATTGGGAGCTCTCGGTTGGCTCAGTGGGTTGAGTTTCCGACTCCTGGTTTCAGCTTAGGTGGTGATCTCATGGGTCGTGGGATTGAGCCCCTGCATAGGGCTCCATGCTCAGCGGGGAGTCTGCTTAAGACTCTCTCTCCCTCTGCTCCCCAAACCCCATTCAAGCACTCTTGCACTCTTTCTATCTCTCTAAAATAAATGGATAAATATTTTTTAAAAAAGAAGTATAATGCTCTCTTGGCTACAATGGAAGTGTGGGAAAAAATACTACAGAAGGAGAATGTCCCAACTGACTTTTCTTGGGGCCAGAATAATAGCTAGTTGTGACTGTTTATGGAGCTAACTTGGTGTGCCAGGCACTGTGTGAGAGTTTTCCACACACTCACAGGTACTATGAGAGCTAAGTGTTATAATTACCCCTTTACAGAGAAGATGAAGGGGGATTAACTGGCACATAGCTGGAGTCAAGATTCAAATCCTTGGGTGGCTCAGTCGGTTAAGCATTTGCCTTTGGCTTGGGTAGTGGTCCCAGGGTCCTGGGATTGAGCCCCACATTGGGCTCCCTGCTCAGCTGGGGAGCCTGCTTCTCCCTCTCCCCCTGCCCGTCCCCCTCCACCCCTACTCTGTCTCTCGTTTTTCTCTCTCTCAAATAAACACACAAAATCTTAAAAAGAAAAAAAAAAAGATTCAAATCCTGGTCTAGCTTAGCTTTAGAAAGATATTTTAGAGTACCATAAAGGAGGAATAAAGTTCATCAGGAGGATAAATGGGGGTGGGGCAGTTGCCTAGCAGAGGGGACAACACAATCTGAATATTCTCAGCACAGCTCTGAGTCGTTGAGACAGGGTTCCTATCACTGTTTAACAGCCTGAGTCAATGTTAAATGATATCATGGCCTTCCTCTAGCAAACGGACACATGTCTGACATACAGTGCGTACTCCACACCTCACGTTACATGCCCACAGCCCCGGGCTCACCCCTTTGCTTCTTTTTTGGCCCCTCGCAGTGGACCCGGTAGCCCCAGGAGCTCGCACAGGCCCAGTCTATGTCAGGTGTGGTGAATATCTGCTGACCAGAATTGGGTCCATGCCTTGCACCTAGAATCTGGGCCTTCTAGCTTCCCCATAAGGGTTCTTTGCATAGCATCGAATGACATGGATGAGTGAGGATGCTGTGTGTGGTTCTTAATGCTTTGTAATCAGCCTGGACTCTTTGGCCAACCCCATTTTCTTTCTTTTATGAATAGGGAGTAAGTTGTGTCACTCTCCGTGGAATGAAGATCAAGCCGGGTTCCATCGGGAAAGGCATCCCCTCCTTCGACGTCCAGGTCTGGTCCTAAAGGCATTTGCTGGGTGCAGTTAGGGCTGAGCTGGGATTGAACAATTGTGGGACACCAGGTGACAGAACCAGCTGTGCCCACTCCACCCCACCCCCACCCCAGTTGTTGTCCTTCTTCCTCTCCTCCTGTTTTCCCGCCGATTTCCTGGGGAGGCTTCAGTTGAGAACTGCAGTATCCTGGGCATGAATGCTGCTCAGCCTGGCAGCCGGAAGCCTCATACACAACAGATGGGACCAGAGCACCTGGAGGGAGCCCTGGCAGCTCTCTCCATCAGCTGGTGCTTCTAGTTTTCCCTGATCTGTGTTTTCTAGCTTGAAGACACGTTTGCCACGTCTGCATATCCGTGAGACCAGGAGACCCATAACTTGGGTTTCACCATTTCCTGACTTCAAAGTCTTCTGACAGCTGTAATCTATTTTTTGACAGGGCTCCTCCCCCCATTTATTCTCACCAGTGTCACACAAATAGTCAGGTACTGTGTGGGTGGGGCCGGCGTGTTGGGGTGGCCCTGCAGGTTGGGATCCACAGGCCTGTTGCTCCAGATCATTGACGACAAGGGCAACAGCCTGCCGTTCAACACTGAAGGCAACATTGGCATCAGGATGAAGCCCACCAAGCCCATTGGCCTCTTCATGGGCTATGAAGTAAGTGGTGATCCTCACCTGCCCACTTCCAGGCCCCCCAAATCCCTTCAGGGAGCAGTGTGGGTACTAAGGGGGTGGATACAACTCTGTACTACGAGCCTTCTTCACACCTCTCTTCAGTCACTCCAACTCAATGAAGCCTCTTCTAATTAATCTCTAAGCTCCTAGTGTGTTCTCACATCCTTTCCTGTCCAAAACCATCTGACACTTAAGTGCTGACAGGGTAGAAAGAAGCACCCCAGACTTGGGTTCCAATGATCTCTCTCTCTTTTTTTTTCAGATTTTATTTATTTATTTGACAGAGAGAGACACAGTGAGAGAGGGAACACAAGCAGGGGGAGTGGGAGAAGGAGAAGCAGGCCTCCTGCAGAGCAGGGGGCCGGATGTGGAACTTGATCCCAGGATCCTGGGATCATGACCTGAGCCAAAGGCAGATGCCTAACGACTGGGCCACCCAGGCGCCTGTCCAATGATCTCTTGAGGTTGAGTATGCAGGAAGCTTTGACTGAGTTCAAATCCTACAGTCCCACTTACCAACAGGCTGTGCACAAATCTGTTAACCTTGCTGAGCCTCCAGAGAGGACAGTGGTGCCCCCACTTCACAGAGGAAGAAACTGCAAATTGGAAGCTTTGTATGTTTTCCCCACGTCAAATAAATGGCAGGTCTAGGATTCAAACCCACATCTTTTTGGTTCCCAAACCCTACGTAAGAAATCCAGGGATTACATAAAACTGTGACAGGTTCTAAAGAAACCTGAAACTCTTGACCAGGCAAATTCTCAGCTTCCAAGATTGGTCAGGGGAGAGTGGACAGACCTTGAAGTTGATCTCAGACCCGTCTCCTTTCTCCACAGGAACAACCATTGGTGTCCCTGTTGGCCTCACTCTATGGCCTTGGGGGTGGGTGGTGCTGCTCCTTTTGTGACGTTATTGACCAAAAGCAAATAATGCAGGCCCTAGCCTTAATTCACAGTAGCACGATTTTAGGCTTGGATAAAAGAGGAAATAAACAGAGTAACAGATATATAGATCAGTGGTTCTCAACCCTGCCTGTATGTTAGAATCAGTTGAGGAGATTTAAAAAAATAATTCTTGGATCCAACCATAGAGATTCTGGCTAAATTAAACTGGGATGGTCCAGAGCAACATCAGTTTTGTTTTAAATTGGAAGTAACATATTTTATTTTACAAAGATGTCCTCCTCTATGCCCACACCTGTGTAGATATATACCCCATTTCACATGCTCTCTTGACTATATGTTGTCACTCCTCCACTGAGATTTGTTTGCTTTTTTCCTTTCTTTTCTTTACTGAGGTAGAATATATAAAATTCACCCTTTTCACCATTTTTAAGCATACAATTCAGCAGCACTGAGTAAATCACAACATTGTACAATTACCACCATGCATGTGCAGAAATTTTTTCCATCCCAAATGGAGACTCTGTTCCCATTAAACAATAACTCCCCCCTCCTCCTCATATCCCCAGCATTTGGTAACCTTTAATATACTTTTTGGCTTTAAGAATTTGCCTATTTTAGGTACCTCTATTAAGTGGAATTGTACAACATTTGGCCTTTTGTGTCTGGCTTATCTCACCTAGCACATGTTTTCAAGGTTCATCCATGTTGTAGCATGTGACCAAATGTCATTTTTTTTTCAGGCTGAATGGTATTGTATGGGTATACCATACTTTGTATATCCATCAATTTCTTAATAGACATTTAGATTATTTCCATCTTTTGGCTACTGTGAATAATGCTGCAATGAACATTGGTGTGCAAGTATCTGTTTGAGTTCCTGCTTTCACTTCTTTTGGATATATACCTGAAAGTGGAATTGCTGCATCTTATGGTAATTCTATATTTAACTTTTTTTTTAAAGATTTTATTTATTTATTTGACAGAGAGAGAGAGACAGCGAGACAGTGAAAGAGGGAACATAGGCAGGGGGGAGTGGGAGAGGGAGAAGCAGGCTCCATGCTGAGCAGGGAGCCCGATGTGGGGCTTGATGCCAGGACCCTGGGATCATGACCCGGGCCGAAGGCAGACGCCCAATGACTGAGCCACCCTGGCGCCCCTATATTTAACTTTTTGAGGAACTGCCAAAATGTTTTCCACAGTGGCTGCACCATTTTATATTTCTGTCAGCAATGTACAAGTGTTCCCGTTTCTCCATATCCTTGCTAATCCTTGTTATTTTCAGGTTTGTTTGTTTGTTTTGTGTGTATAATAGTCATTCTACCGCATGTGATGTGGTGTCTCATTGTGGTTTTGATTTTCATCTCCCTAATGACTAGTGATGTTGAGCATCTTTTCATGTGCTTATTGGCCATTTGTGTACCTTCTCTGGAGAATTGTCTATTTAAGTCCTTTGCCTATTTTTAAAATTGGGTTGTTTGTTTTGTTGTTGATTTGTAAGAGCTCTTTATATACTCTGAATATGAACCCCTCATAAGATATATGCTTTGCAAATATTTTCTCCCATTCAGTGCATTGTCTTTTCACTCTTTTGATAGTGTCCTTTCAAGTAAAATTTTAAAAATTTGATGAGGAACATTTTATCTATTTTTTTCTTTTGTTTCCCGTGCTTTTGGTGTCATAGTCAATAAATAATTGTCAAATCCAAAATCAGGAAGACTTCCCCCTATGTTTTCTTCTAAGAGTTTCAGAATTTTAGCTCTTGTGTTTAGGTTTTTGATCCATTTTGAGTTAATTTGTGTATATGGTGTATAAGGTAACTGCATTCATTTGCATCTGAACATCCTAGTTTCTCAGTGCCATTTGTTGAAAAGATTGACTTTTCCCACTGAATGGTCTTGGCATTTTTGCCTAAAATCCATTGACCATATATGTGAGGATTTCTTTCTGGGTTCTCTATTTTATTACAATCATCTATGTGTCTTTTTTTTTTTAATGCCAGTTTTGTATGGGTGTACCATATTTTGTATATCCATCAATTTCTTAATAGACATTTAGATTATTTCCAGTATAGTTTTGCAGTAAGTTTAAAAATCAGTAGTGTAAGCTCTTTTCCCTGGAAAGAAGAACTTTCTTCTCCCTTTAAAAGATTGTCTTGGCTATTTGAGATCCGTCAAGATTTCATATGAATTTTAGGATGAATATTTCTATACCACTGAGATTTTGATAGGGAGTGCATTGAACCTGAAGATGGCTTTGGGTAGTACTGTCATCTTAATATTAAGTCTCCAGGGTGCCTGGGTGGCTCAGTCGGTTAAACGACTGCCTTCAGCTCAGGTCATGATCCTGGAGTCCCGGGATCGAGTCCCACATCAGGCTCCCTGCTCAGCAGGGAGTCTGCTTCTCCCTCTGACCTTCCCCCTCTCATGTGCACTCTCTCTCTCTCATTCTCGCTCTCTCAAATAAATAAATAAATAAATAAAATCTTAAAAAAAATATTAAGTCTCCAATTAATACAGTATGTCTTTCCATTTATTGATACCTTCTTTCATTTCTTTCAGCAACAATTTTTATTTTTCAGTGTACGTCTTTCACTTTCTTGACTAAATTTATTCTTAGTATTATATTCATTTTGTTGCTATTCTAAATAGAATCATTTTTTAATATCTTTTGTCCATATATAGTTTTTTCTGTTTTTTAGTTCTTTGTTCATTTTTTCTCTTAGTTTTTGATCACTTAACACGTTTGACTTATTATTTCTTCCAAGTTTTTATTTAAATTCCACTCAGTCAACATACAGTGCAATATTAGTTTCAGGTATAGAATTTAGTGATTCATCACTTACATACTTCAGCCAGTGCTTATCGTAAGGGGTGCACTCCTTAATCCCCATCACCTATTTCACCCATCCCCCTGCCCCTCCCCTCTGGTTACCATCACTTTGTTCTCTACAGTTAAGAGTCAGTTTCTTAGCCTTCCCCTCTTTTTTCCCCAATGTTCATTTGTTTTGTTTCTTAAATTCCACATATGAGTGAACTCTAGAAATCAGATTCTCCCACTTCCCTGGGGGTTGAGGTTGCTGGGGTTTCATTGTTTTGTTTTTTGATTTTGGACTGTTGAAGGCTATAGTAGTCCTTTGTTGTGGTACTTTTGCAAATTCTTTAAAGACTATTGTTTGTCATGTGTGATTACTGAGGTTTCTGATCCTTTAGCTCGTGTTCAGTTAATGTTTTGACAGAGATTTCCTTGAGGGGCAGGAGCTCAAATGAACAAAGAAAAACATCACCAACCAAAAAAGAAGAGAGAACAACCACTGTGCAGATTGGCTCTGTGCTGGGATACTCCTTCACCACTTAGCTGGACTTGCTCTGAGCCTAGGGATCAGCCTGAGATGAAAGCTTAAGGTTTTCTCAGGACTTTGCTGAGCATGCATCTTGCCCAGGCATGTTCACGGCTGTCTTAATTCCCCCATGCATATAGCTGTCTTGAACATCCTAATTTCAAAAACAAAAAACAAAAAAAACCCCAAAACTCACTCCAGCATCTCCCCCAGACCTTGATGGTCTATTGTATATCTCCACCCATAATCTCTTACGTCAGGCAACTTCACTTTTGTAGTTTGCCTGGTAGCTTCTATGAGCCGGGCCTGCTGCTTTTTTCTGAGTTACATAAAGTGAGTTCCTTGCACCTGTCCTTCAGGCAGCCCCCCAGATAGGTTAGAACAGATGCACACAATAATCATTATTTTACTTTAAAACATCTGTTTTTGGGGGCACCTGAGTGGCTCAGTCGTTAAGCATCTGCCTTCGGTTCAGGTCATGATCCCAGGGTCCTGGGATCGAGCACCGCATCGGGCTCCCTGCTCCACGGGAAGCCTGCTTCTCCCTCTCCCACTCCCCTTGCTTGTGTTCCCTCTCTCGCTGTGTCTCTCTCTGTCAAATAAATAAATAAAATCTTTTAAAAAAATAAAACATATGTTTTTTAAAAAGTTAATCAGTATCACAAATGGAAAACAGTATGATTTGCCAAAAACAGAAGGCAATTATAACTATAACTATAATGCAAACAAAACAATTTTTCTTGAATTCTAGCTAAACCCTGTTCCCACTAAAAGCTCCAGTCCTGAAACTTACTCTTGGTAGTTCCAGAGCTTTTAAAAACATGTCAGAGAGTCTCCTTAATACAATCAGAACAATTGGAAGGGAACGTAAAATGGGATGTCATTCAATTTTTTTTTTTTTTAATTTTTTTTTCCTGGACCTTTTTCAAATCATTTCATGTTTCATGAGAGGGATGATCTCAACACATTGAGTGTTTGAGTGCAAACACTTGGTGGTTGAGTACAAAGGCTGTGGAGCAAGAATTAAATTCAAATACCAACCCTACCACTGACCAGCTGGGTGACTTTGAGTGAGTTATTGTGCTTCTCTGAGCATTCATTTCTTCTGTTATGGCCTATAAAAATCTAGCCTCACATAAAACCTGCACATGAATGTTGAGAGCAGCTTTATTCACAATAGCCCCAAACTGGAAACAACCCAGATGCCCTTCAATGGGTTGACACCCAAACTGGGGTTCATCCATAACATGAAGTACCATTTAGCAGTAAAGAGAACAAAGTATTGATGAACATAAGAAGCTGGACGAATTTCCAGAAAATTATACTGAGTGAAAAAAATAAAAACAGAGCTAGTCCCAAAAGGTTACATACTCTAGGATTCCATTTATGTAACACTCTTAAAGTGACAAAATTATAAAACTAGGGAATAGATCAGTCCCTGCCGAGGGCTTAGGGATTTGGAGGGAGGGAAAAGATGAGGGAGATGGGTGTAGATATAAAAGAGCAACACAGGAGATCCTCAGGATGACGGGAGTCTTCTGTAACTTGACTCTGGTGGTGGATGCACATTTGATAAAATACACGTAGACACACACAAAAAAGTAAAAGTAAACTGCTGGGAGATCTAAGTGAGATTGGTGGACTGTAGCAATGTCAGTATCCTGGTTGTGATATTGAACTGTAGTTTTGCAAGATGCTACCATTGGAGAAAACTGAGTAAGTGGCACACAGGATCTCTCTGTGTTATTTCTTATAACTGCATGCAAATATGTAATTATCTTTTTAAAAAAGATTTATTTATTTATTTGAGAGAGAGAGAGAGAACATGTATGCATGCATGTGTGCATTAGTTAGGGAAGGGGCGGAGGGAGACAGAGAATCTCAAGCAGGCTCCATGCTGAGTGCAGAGCCCTACACAGGGCTCGATCTCACAACCCTGAGATTATGACCTGAGCAGAAATCAAGAGTTATCCGCCCAACTGAATGAGCCACCCAGGTACCCTGCAAATATACAATGATCTTAAAATAAACAGTTTAATTAGAAAAATAAAAGCCTTGTAGGTTTTCTGGGAGGATCAGATGAGGTAGTATTTTGGGAAGGAAATTCATTTAACAAAAGTGTATTGAACCTCTCATTTATCCAGGCACTATGTGAATGCTAAGCTGAGAACAATAAATAAAATACACAGGGTCCATGTTCTAGTGGAAATTTTATTATACTAGAGCGCCACACAAAAGTGAGTTGTTACTTTAAAAAATTATCCTTAAAATTGGCTCAATATTGTTCACTAATTGACAAGTAGTGTTCATTGAGTACTTGGATATAATGAAAATAGACTCAGAGAGATTACAAAACTTGCCCAGGTGCCAAGTAGAGCCAGGAGCGGGATCCAGACCCAGATCTGAGCACCAGGTTGTGGCTCATCATCTCTAAACTCGTTGCCTTCAACAAAGGGGTATTGTTGTCTTTGCAGGACAACCCAGTAAAGACAGCCAAAGTGGAGTGTGGGGACTTTTACAACTCTGGAGATAGAGCAACTATGGATGAAGAGGGCTACATCTGGTTCCTGGGGAGGAACGATGACATCATCAATGCCTCTGGGTAGGTATGGCTGACCTGAGCCGGGAGGCATCACCCTCACATGCCTCATGGGATCTAGCTTGTTCTGACATTCATCCAAGCTTGGTGATGGTTAGCTCAGGCTAACTCTGAACAGAGCTCTGTCTATGGGCCCCCTTTCTGGGGATACCTGTGCACCTCCCCCAAGCCCTGCATCCAGAAAAGTCTATCAAAGTGTAGTTCAAGAAGGTCTGCAAGGCGAACCATAATGAGACATTATGCAATTTAAGGGATTTGGAAGGAAGACGTTACATAGGCCCTTATTGTTGAGGAAGCTTCCTCTATGTTTGGCTCCTCTAATGGGACACAACAATCACTGAAAATTTTAATAATAGATAACAACAACATAAACCTTTATGGGGCACTTACTATGGGGATGCACACTCTGCAGTGCTTTATATAACCCAGCTCTCAGTGCTAGAAGGTAGATGCAGTTATGCCCATTTTACAGATGAAGGAACTGGGTTACTGACTAGTGAATAAAGTTCCCTAAAGTTTCAGAGTGCTGGGTACAACCCAGATTTACCAAAGCTGTCTGGCTCCAAGTCAGTTGTCCCTAAATCTTCACGTGATTTGGAAAGAAAAAAAAAATGACACATTATACCAGAGTAACAAGTTCTCTTGGCTATTTCAGGGAAGTTGAGTGTGTTTACCTTTTAAATTTCTAAAACATGCTAATATGATGGGGAAGAGTATGCAGAATTTGCATGAATGTTTAAGATAAAGGCTGAGGCTTCTAGTAGGTTTCATGCCAAGGGAAGCTGCTTGAGCCCAGCCCCAGAGCTCGGGGAGAACTAAATATTCACCCTCCTCCCTGAGCAGAGGCAGTGAGGTGAGAAACTCTGGGGAGCATGTGAGTGTTGTATTTCTCAGCACGGAGTGCCCATTCTTCATGTTTGGGGCCCATGAGAGAGCCAGGGCACAGGTATCTGGCTTCCTGTGACAGTTATCCTATGTGACAAGGGACGAGGTGACCCTCCAAAACATGAGACTTGAGGGCTTGGGTCACCCGGCCCTGGCAGCCACTCAGAAGCCAAGAAGGAGCCCGCAGGTACCGCGTCGGGCCCGCAGAGGTGGAGAATGCCCTGGCCGAACACCCGGCTGTGGCTGAATCAGCTCTGGTGAGCAGCCTGGACCCAATTCGAAGGGAGGTGAGGAGGACACAGAGGTCATCGTGTCTGTGTGTGGGCACCAAGGCAGGTGCCGGGAAACCTTCCTCCTGGTCCTGTCTCTCCAACCTTGGACCTCGGGTGGAGGGGGGCCCCGGGGTGTGCATGTGCATTTACACTGTGTGGCCACCAGAGAGCAGTGTGGCCTCAACCATGTGGGACAGAAAATGATGCTTGTGAATGTGGCTTGCAGCTGGGGCTACTGCTGCCCGTCTCCTAATTTCTGAGCCCTTCCTACCTGCCGGCTCATTTCCCCCTCACAGCAACCTCATTAATTAAGGACTCTGAGACCCTTTTTTACAGGGAAAGAAACAAGCATAAGGAGATTAAATAAGTTGCCTGATCACAAAGCTGTCAAGTGGTGGAGCCAGAATGGGAATGTGAGCAGTCTGGCTCCAGAGCAAGCATTCATTGATTCACTGTGTGCTGAGCACCTACTCTGGACAAGGCCCTGTGCCCTGTAGACGCGACATGAATAATAGGAACGTAGTTAATCACCACCATTGATTTAATGCCCACAGAACTCTACCTATAATAATAGGGAAAATGGTGATGATAATGATAGGAATAAAAATCAGTTTAAACGAGCTTCATGGTTTATATGAATGATCTCGATGAATCTTGAGAGCCATGCCCTGAGGAATGAAGCCGTGCTGTCCCCACATCAGAGAAGGACATGGAGGCTGAGAGAGGTGAAGTAATTTTCCAAGGCAGAGAGTAGAAATTGGAAGTATGGACACTGGTCCTGTTCTTTTCCAGAGGCTCAACTGTCAACTTGTTTTTCCATTTACTTAATACACATTTACTTTTTAGACTATACACTTGGTTGCCACTCCCCCTGAGCCTCCACTCTGGTTCTGCGCTGCAGGTGGTGAAGGCATTTATTGTCCTGACTCCGGAATTCCTCTCCCATGACCGGGACCAGCTCACCAAGGAGCTACAGCAGCATGTGAAGTCAGTGCCAGCCCCGTGTAAGTACCCCAGGAAGGTGAGTGAGGGCAGAGGGATGGGGCCTGGTCCCGTCCAGTGGGCCCTGGGCTCTGCTGCCCCAAATCTCCTGGGGTGGCTGGGGTGGAGCTTACGTAGCCCATGGAATGAGCATTTTTCTCTACTGAAGAAGCATTCAACTTAGGGGTTTAGGGGAGATCCATCTTAATCATGGAAACCTCTATCCTGTGTCAGAAAACAAAAAGGCTGACAAAAAACCTACAGAAAAAAATCAGCCAAGAGCCTAGAAATATCCAAGAAGGATATTTGAAATCTTTCACAATTTGAAAAAGACATTCGGGGCACCTGGGTGGCTCAGTCGTTAAGCGTCTGCCTTCGGCTCGGGTCACGATCTCAGGGTCCTGGGATCGAGCCCCTCATCGGGCTCCCTGCTCGGCGGGAAGCCTGCTTCTCCCTCTCCCACTCCCCCTGCTTGTGTTCCCTCTCTCGTTGTGTCTCTCTCTGTCAAATAAATAAAAAGAAAATCTTGAAAAAAAGAAAAAAAAAAGACATTCAAGTCAACAACTGCCACACTTTTAAAAACCATTATTTGTAGTAAGAAATATATTCTAAATTGAAGCCCAATACATATATAGATACATAACAAACAAAAGGTAACAAAATAATATTTATTGTAGCATAAAATACATTCTGAGAGATTTTTTTTCTACCTCGTTTTCAGTGCCATGTGAGAACTATGAAAATGTCCAACAATAGAGAAATGATTAAATTATTCGTGGTAATTAATGCTGTCCTATAATTTAAAAAGATGATGCAGATCTCTTATTTGTAACATAAAAAACATCACAAAAATATATTATTAAGAGACAAAAGCAGGCTGTGAATAAATATACATGTTATCTGACTTGTTGAAAAACCACGTTTGCAAGGATACATGGGTCAAAAATTTAACGTGTCTTTCTTTTGTAATAATACATTGCTGTGCTTTCTGAGTGTTTACCCAAAGCTAGATAGCTAATATTTATTGAACATGTGTGCCGGGCGCTGGACTCAAAGCTCTACATGTGTTATTTCATTTAATCCCCCCAAACCTGAGATGGTATAACCATCCATTTGACAGAATGGAAACGGGAGAGGCTCAGAGACTCACAGTAAATTGCCTGAGGTTGGAGTGAAGAAAAGGGCAGAGCTGAACTCAAACCCAGTGTATCTGAAAACGGAGTTCGTCCTTCACATGTAAGGCTCTGCCGCCTCCTAGAGAGTAGACTGGAGGATGCAGGCCAGTTAGGATGGGCTGATGTTCCTGTGAGGAACTAGTAGCCCCTGTCTTAGTGGCTCCTACTAGGGAAGTATCTTTCTTGCTCCGGCCACATGTCCGCATGGTCTTCCTGGGACCAGGATAAAGGAGCACCCACCATAGGTAACTGCCGGGTGCTAGAAGAGATGGACAGAGTGGATGCCAGACCCAGTGGTCTCAAGTGTTCTGTTCGAGGTGGCACGCCTCACTCCCACTCACATCTCACTGGTCAGAGCACATCACAGGGCTGCATCCAACTTCCCGGGTCAGGGGACACCCTGACATGCCTTGGTGGAGCCTACTGGGGCCACCACATGGTGCCAGCCCGTCTGGGGGACTGTGCAGGGGCAGAGGAGGAGCCTGGGGCATTGGTAAGAAATGACAGCAGGACTAAGTTGGGATGGGTTTGCTTTATCCTTGACCAGGTGGAATTTGTCTCAGAGCTGCCCGAAACCGTCACTGGCGAGATTAAAAGAAGTGACCTTCGGAAAAAGGAGTTTGGTCAGATGTAATCAGCAAAACCCTCAGAAACCACTGTGTCTTCTTTGCCAAATCCCTGGCTGCCTCAGTTTCCTCACTATGGGGAGGGTGAGGAGGGGAGTGTTGGACATTGATTTTAAGAGCATCAGGAGTGCTCACATTGCAGCATTTTTGTTCTTTTAAATTACTATCCATTACTCTCCTGCTTCCAAGTCCCCGAGTGAGCGCCCAGGATGTAGCTGGGGTAATAAAGGGACATGAGCATCCAAGGGGACTTGTGTTGTGCTTTGATTCTGTGAATGAACCAGAGCTAAATGCGGTCCCTCCATGATTCTCCCCAAGCCCCACTGGAGAGGACTCTGGGGCCAGATTCTCCCCCCTGGTTCCAGGGGCCCTGGGTGACTCCTTTTGTCTGTTCAACAACCACAACACAGAGGTCTGGGGAGGGACCCTTCCTTGGCCCCAGGTGTCCACCTCTGCCTGGCTTGCCCATGCCCTGCTGGAGGGTGAGGTCAGGGCCAGAGCTAGTGAGGTGGCTGGGGAAGGGGGAAGGCACCGAGGGCAGCCCAGCCTGGTGGTTCCACCTGCCTGCCAGACCATTCCTCACCGCTCCATCCAGCATGCCATGGACCCGCTGCCTCTGTATGGTGCTGCTTCCAGGTCCCAGCCTGCACCAGCTTAGGTGTGGGAGGGATCTGCCCTGTGGGGACCCAGGAAACCTGCAAGACTCCTCCAGCCCTTTCCGGGGTGCCCAATCCCCCATTCCTTCCATGGAGCCCAGGAGCTCCGTTCCCCAGCCCTCCGTAGGGCCCCCCAATCACTCACCCTTCCCCAGGGCCCAGGAATCCCTCAGCCTCCCCAGGGGCCCGGAGCTCTCCCCACACTTTATGAGGTCCTCCTGCCATCTGTAGCCCGAGAGATGATGTGTGCAAAGGGCAGGGCTTAGCACAGGCCTGAAACAGGAGGGACCTCTGGTTGTCACCAGTGTTGCTTTGAACAGCTGTGAGACGTGAGGCACCGGATCTGGGAAGGCACTTGCCCCATGGAGATGATGATGCTAATGTCCACAGGTGCTCAGCACGGGGCTTCCTCTTGTCCTCAGCACAGTTATGGACACAGGCTTGGACGCCCCAGCTCACTGAAGGAAAGCAGCCCAGGGTCACAGAGCTGGTAAGCAGCACAGCTGGATCTCACACTCTAGGCTCCCGGCCCTGTTTCCAGGGGCCACGAAGGGCTTCGTAGACAGGAGGCTGACACTGGCTTTGGGGACACTTCCTCACCTCCACGAGTGATCTCACCTGTTCGAGGCCCCCAAACTCTGTTCACTGCTTCTTCTTCCCTGCTCCCTGTTCCAGTTATAATCAGGGTGACCCCGGCCATCCTTCCTGGAATTCCCTAGTCCCCCTTATAGGCTGGGCCTATATATATATAGTCTGACTCCACCCCTTCTGTAGCTGGTCTCTCCTTCTATAACCAGGACCACCCGACTCTGGGGCTCTGGAGGCGGCAGCAGCTTCTAAACAGAATTTAATACAAATGTTTTGCTATCCTTGTTTTGTTTTTGTTTGCGTGTCTTTTATGGCTTCTTTATATTTTATGGCTAATTATATAAATATATTTATATTTATGTTAAAGATACTGCGTTCCTATTTTAGCAGTGCTGAAATGGTTCCTGTTTACAAGAAATTTACACAGTAAGTGGTGGTTTGTAGAGCATTGATTTTCAGCTGCCTTGGGCCTGAATGAGTTGGGATTAACTCACAATTAGATAACACTAATTGTGTTAGTCCTAGAGAGAAACAGTTTAGGAGGTTCGGCTCAGGACAGGGCCCAAGAGAGATGATCACAGGGGGTTTGTCCAGTCACCTGGGTCCCTGGCCCTGCCCACCTGCTTGGCTCTCCCCGTCCAGCACACCTGGGGCTGCCAGCTCTCTGGGTGTTGTCTTGGATCCCCCAGGAGAGAAGCTGGTGAATGTTTTCTCTTAAAATGCTCTCATTCCTGGAGGTCCCAAGAGATCCCATGAGAGTCAGCTTGGATTGTTTCCCCTGTGAGGTTCATATCGTAAAGCCCAAGCTAGTGGGTAGCAGGGTCACATAGATAAGCGACAGATCTACCGCTGTTGGAGGTGTTCAAATGTCTCCGTCAATTAGGGATGATTTTGAGGCCATTCGGTCTTCTCATACTAATATCCCAGGATATACCAGCCCAGAAGACATATCTGATTACAATTTTGTCATGCTTATTTCATTCGGTTCCAATGTAGCTTTTTCTTTGGGATTTCTTTACTCCTATTTTATTTGTAGAGGTACTTCTCAATTTCTAAACATATGGGAATTTCTAGTGAGCTTTTTATCCATGATTTCTAGCACATTATATTACCACAACATGCTCTGTGTGATTTCATGCCTCTGAAACATATTGAAATGTCCCTTATGACCAAAATAGATCGGGTGCATTTTTGTAAGTGTATCCTATATGCCTAAAGTTAATGTGTCCTCCACAGTGGTCTATGGATGTGGACAGACATACGGAGATAGCTGTGGGATTCAGATGGTTTGCTCTCAAGGTCTACATGTTATGGATGTTCTGTCTGCTTTGAGTCACTGAGAGAGGGTTGAAACCTCCCACTCTGCTTGTGTATTTGCTTGTTGTTGCAGTTCTGTCCTCCTTTGCTTTATATGTTGTTCAGCCAATGGCTCTAGGATGGGAGTTCTGGAAGGAAGGAGATAGCGCCCAGAAGAGGGCAACAGGGACCTGGGTTGGGAGGCAGCAGAAACAAGAAGGATGGCCAAAGTTCCAGAGAGGACCTGTTATTGGGATGGCACGTGGTGGGGCGCCAGTTGGGAAGGGGCTCTTTAAATATGAGGTCACGCGGGGTGCCCATTATGACCTACCAGGGGCAAAGGCAGATGATTGGCTGAGAGAGAGTATAAAGCCTCTGGGTTGCTAAGGAATGGTTCAACCAGGGGAAGGCTTGGAGAAAAGTGTATCCTCCTCCAATCGCTTCACCTGCTACTGTTTCCTGCTGACCTAGTGATTTACTAACCTGCTGATCTACTACCCTTTCTGAACCTCCCCTCGAGTACTTACTCTGACCCTGACACCGTCGCTGACCCCTTCTTCTCCTGACAAACGCCTTCCCCAATCCCACCCTTTATTTCTACCCTGCTCCCAACCCTCATTAAAACCCTGTCCCCTCCCCACCCCTTCCCACCCCTCCCTACCCCACCCACCCCTACCTCCACTCCACCCCCCATCTCCACCTCCTCCCTGACACCCCAGCACCCCTTGAAAGGACCAAGACATGAAGGTGCAGAGGCTGTTGTTCCTGGTGCTCTTGCTGCCGTGTCCCGGTTCCCCAAACCCAAATGTGAGTAAACATGGCACTTCACTGGCATCTTCACAGGTGTGGGGGGAAGGGCAGAGGGGGAGGGAGAGAGAGAATCCCAAGCCAGCTGTGCAGTGAGTCCAGAGCCTGAAGGTCCTGAAGCTCAGCCTCAGGACCATGAGATCATGACTTCATCCAAACCAAGACGTCGTCCCTTAACGGACTGAGCCCCCCAGTGACTCAAAGCTGCTAGTGGTGTCTTTGTTCCTACTGGGCTCTTTCACATGGTGGTTAAATAATAGTTTTTTCATGGGGTTCTTGGTGGGAACTTCAGAAGAACTGCAGTTCTTCCTGAAGACCGAGGACCACAGGGCAGGTTTCTCGGTCAGCCTGAAGGGGCTGTGGCCACAGCCGTCCACATCAAGTTCTGGGTCCTGTCTGTGCTGCTTGGTCCAAAAAGAGCAGCTCTGGCAGGATGGAAACCTGCAAATACTAGGGTAATGGTGGCAAGAAGGAAGGATTTGAGAAGATATGAAAAGCCATTGAGCTCTTTGTCTTAAATAGGGGGCTTGTATGATATGTACATTATATCTCATTAAAATTGTCTTTTAAAATGTCGGGAATGCTAATTTATAGGAGCTACGGGCATTAGACTGGCTCCTGGAAGCCCAGTGAAGATCCTGCTTCAAGCCTTGTATGTTTAGGGTCCATCTTCTACATTGATTTCATGTCAGCACATTGTTCATATTTGTGAAGTTTGGCAGCCCTGGGAACAGTGGTATCTTAAGCATTGGTGTTGGGTCTTGAGTGTTAAACAGTGAAATGTCCTTTGTGCTCTGTGCTTCCTGGTTGGTTGACTTGTAACAACTTCGGAGTCAGCCCTTTCCTCCTGGCCTTGGAGGCTGTCCCCAGGGACTCTGTGTCCCACCAGGTCCGTGGGAGCCCTGAGAAGCCCAGCAGACACTAAGTGACCGCATCTCGCTGGGACGTTTGTCACAGGAAAATCTGATGGATTGATGTAATCAGGAAGTGAATGAGTTGTTACCCTTTCTTTGGCCCAGTGTGTACAGAGTGTTGATTTCCCCAAAGTCAAAAGCTCCTGAATGTCCTTAGGATTGTCCAAATATAAAGAAATACCTGGTTCCTAGTGTGACTATTTCACTCCTTAAAAAAGAAAACCCTTACCCTCAGGAGAGAGAGACAGACAGGGAACACTCTAGAAATAAGCAGACTTCTTTAGATCGGCCTACACCAGATTCTTAGAGAGGGATTTGCAAAGTGGGAGTAGTCAGGAAGGACCCTAGTGTTGAGGCAGAATCATCCCACATGAATACCTCCAGTCAAAATAGACTCGATTCTGTTTCTTTTGAGTCTTCAATGGAGGGAATTTCTTCGTAGTCTTTATTGGAAATATTCCCCTCTGCCTAGGCTGCATCTCATAGAGCACTTCGCCTTTCTCACCCTCCCTCATCTCTGAGCTCTTGCATAAACTACCTGGTCTCGCATTTCCCTCCTCCACCTGCTCATGGCCATTGTCTGTTAGAACCTAGTGTTATTGGCCCCATTGGATGTCATCTAGTTAAGAGTCAGTTACTGGTCAGCATCCAGACAGCTGCTAGATGTACCACGTGGCCACAACTGGGGGTGTTTTCCATTTGTGACAAGATGGCCTCTGTCTTTTGTGCATTTGATCCCCATGATCAACCATTGAGCAGATAGCTAATGTTCTCTTTCAGACAGCGGCTGTTCCAAGACCGTGTATGTTTCCCACCAGCACACATGTTTGTGACCTCAGCTGTGAGGGTTGAGGATGAAAATGTTATAGATTTCAGGGGTACTTTCTAGAGAGTTGTGTTTGCACAAAATTCAAGCTTGGTGTGAATTAGTAGGAATTGCATTGTGAGCGTCTTGTCTCCTAAAATACTTGGAACTCCAGTTTTTGTAAAATGAGATGTGTTCTTTGTTTTGGTGTCCATATCCAGGAATTTTGTATTCTTTTAGAAATGAAATTTCATGGTCACCTGGGTGGCTCAGTCAGTTGAGCTTCTGCCTTAGCCTTGGGTCATGATCCCAGGGTCCTGGGATTGAGCCCTGCTTGGGCTCCCTGCTCAGCCGGCAGTCTTCTTTTCTGTCTCCCTCCCTCCCCCTTCCCCTGCTCATGCTCTCTCTCTCTCTCTCTTTCACATAAGTAAATAAAATCTTTTTAAAAATCAAATTTTAGAGTTGCTCTTGACTGATTTAGTTACAATACTGAGAAATAGGAACATGAATGCCTTTCATTGGCTTTTGGAGATAGGTGTTCAAGTAATTTAAAATGTCACAGATACCATCAAAATAAACAAGATCACCTGATTATGAAAATCTTTATGTACCCCTGAAATCTGACATTTTGGGCTGTGATTCTGAAGCAAAGTGGGCATTGAAAGAAAACATCACTGTTTTCAGAAACTAAACAGTAATTCGAATTTATTTTTGTTGAAATAATAATCCCATATTCTTCTAATAGAAGCCTCCTGTCTCTCTCTCACTCATGTCCTGATCTATAAACATCTGTCCATAGAACATTCTCATTTATATCTCTAGTACATTTTTTAGTCTTGCTTTTTCTCATTCTTCCATAAATTTTGGGCCTATTTTTGGAAAGGTTCCAGAGGAGTTTATCCAGGTCCTTCATGGATGTACAATAGAAGTCAGTGACTTCTTACCTACTGTAAGTTTACATTTACTTATCTTGTCTATTTTATGTTGGCTTATAAATTCTTAAGTTCTGTTAGCTATAGAAAATTTATTTGCCATGTGTTTGTAGGCAAAATAAAATCTCTTAAGATTTGTCTATTAGATTTTTCCTACAGCTTCAGTGTTATATAATGTATATATGATCACAACATCTTTTTCAAGAATACAGTTTGTTGATAGTTGACATAGGTAAACACAGGGAAACCCATCAGCACAGTACGATAGTAAACACACTCATCACTCCCAAAAGTTTGCCCCTGTTCCTTTGTAATCCCTCTGTGCTCCTTCTCCTCCATGGGGAGGCAGTTGAGAGGTGTGCTTACCTGGGGGAGGCTGGTGGAGGGTTTGTAAAGTTGATTGTTTGGGACAGAGACATTGTAAATCTTTGAGATTCCTCATTGTCTCACGTGTTATTTCAGCTTGTCCATGTTGTGCCTGACCGTTTCCTTCTTGGCCCTGATGGGGTTGGAGTTCTATGGAAACTTCCCATTATCACTGCCCCCTTGGGAGTTTGTGTCTTTCTCATTTATATCTGGAGAACCATCCTCGCTGTAAGTATACTAAAGTAGCTTATATATACTGTTCTTCATAAATGAGCAGAAAATTTTATAGTTATTGGACCTTTTATATCCATTCAGTAATAGAAATATCCCTCTAATACATCAATTTTGATGATCACCTAGATTGCAATAGATTTAAATTTGTGTTGCAGTGCCTTCTGTGATCCATATGTTCTTTTTTTTTTTTTTTAAGTTCAAGCATAATTGGCCAACAGTGTAGTATTAGTTTCAGGTATACAACATGATTCAGCAATTCTATACATTTCTCAGTGCTCATCACAATAAGTGTACTCTTAATCCCCTTCACCTCTTTCATCCATCCCTCCACCCACCTGCCCTCCAACCCATGTGTTCTTTAGAAGTGTGTTGTTTAATCTCCATTTTTTGGTCATTCTCTAGCTATCTTTCAGTACTTGATGTCTAGTTTGAGTCATTTGTGGTCTGAGAACATACGTCCTGTGATTTCTTTTCCTTTGGTCGTTCAGATGTATCTTATGGCCCAGAATATGGCCTCTCTTAGTGAATGTTCCATGGGAACTTGAGAAGAATGTCTTTAGTTTGGTTGTTGAATGGATTATTCTGCAGATGTTAATGGATCCAGTTGATTGGTGATGCTTTTCAGTTCACCTGTATTCTCATGGAATTTCTGTATCTGTTGGATCTGTCAATGACTGATAGAGGGTTCTGAATTCCCCAGCTATAATAGGGATTCATCTGTTTCCATCAGCAATTCTTTCAGTTTCTGCCTGATGTACTTCGACACTCTGTTGTTAATGCATGCACATGAGAAATTATTATGTCTTTTGGAGGATTGACACCTTTACCGTTGAAGTAATGCCCATCATTATCCCCGACGGTTTTCCTTACTCTGTAGTGTGTTTTGAAGGATCATTTCACTGGCCACAGGTTTCTCGTTGGATGTTTCTGTTAACACTTTAAACATTTCATCCTTCTTGATGGCAAGGTTTCGGAAGTGTGATGTAGTCCTTATCCTTATTCCTCTTGGGTAAGGGTTACTGCTCTCCTTCCCCCTTCCACCACCCACACCCAAGCCCTGCTCCAGATTTCCAGACTTGTTTCTTTGTCTTTAATCACCTGTGACTGAACATTCTGGATTAGGCATCATTGGCGTTAGTTGTTGGTGTGTTTGTTTGGGTATTTATCCTGCTTTCCTTGTTTTGAGCTTCCTGGATCTGTGGTTTGGTGGCTATATTAATTTAGGAAAATCCTCAGTCATTATTGCTTCAACTACCTCTCTGTCCATTCTCCTGCTGCTCCTATTCTGTGTGTGTTACACGATTTGTAATTGTCCCACTGGTCTTGGATTTTCTGTGCTGTCTTTTTAATATTTGTCTTTGTTTTTCTTTTGGGAAGTTTCTACCGGAAATTCTTTAGGCACAATGATTCTTTCCTCTGGTATGTTGAGTCTCTTAATGAACCCATCAAAGGCATTCTTGATTTCTGTTATGGTATTGTCCAGAATCCCGGTAAAATCTTAGAGTTTCATATCTCTGCTTACATTCATCACCTCTTCTTCCTACTGCCCCCTTTTTGCTTAGATCCAATATCAGGTATGGAAGGGACTTGAAATTCCCAACCTGCCAATGCCATCATCTCTGCCTTAGATGCCTTAGGTAGTGTGATTCTAGTGCTTGCTGTCGTGGTTTTTACCCTTAGTATGCCTTGTATGGTTGTGTTGAAAGCTAGATCTCCTGTTCTGGTAAAGGAACTGAGGTAAATAGGATGTGAGGGTGAGGTTGTCTACTCATCTGTCTGGGGTTAGACTGAGTTTACTCCCAGGTGAGACAGGGAGGCGATTGCATTGGAGTTGAGACTTTCCCCCTCACCTCTATTGCGTAGTCTTTGGGAAAGGCCCAGTTAGGCTCTGGGGACATAGTTTCACTTGAAGGCAGACCTTTCTAAGAAGAACAGAAAACTTCTGAGTTTATTTCTAAATGGAATCTCCCCCCTCTCCCTGCCAATGGAGAAACCTTCCCTTCAAAAGGAACACAAGTATGTGCTATGGTGAGCGCTGTGAATTGGGCAAGACTGTTGAATCACAGATCTGTACCTCTGAAACAAATAATGCAATATATGTTAAGAAAAAAAGAAGAAGAAGATAGCAGGAGGGGAAGAATGAAGGGGGGGGGGAATCGGAGGGGGAGATGAACCATGAGAGATGATGATGGACTCTGAAAAACAAACTGAGGGTTCTAGGGGGGAGGGGTGTGGGAGGATGGGTTAGCCAGGTGATGGGTTAAAGAGGGCACGTTCTGCATGGAGCACTGGGTGTTATGCAGAATGAGTCATAGGTCACTACATCAAAAACTAATGATGTAATGTATGGTGATTAACATAACAATAAAAAATTTTTAAAAAAAGGAAAACAAAACTATGACGTCTTTGGTGTGCTCATCTGTCTCTTCACTTCCCCTTCCTGTGGGGCTCGGTGACAAGGGCCAGAGCAACTCAGAGATTCCTAAGCAACATGTGAAGTTACAGGAATCACCATGGTTTTCTGTTTGCCCTCCACTGATGGACTTTCCTCTAACAACGTTATTATGACTGGCTTGTTGATAGCATGGTGATATTCCAATATCCTGGCAAGATTTGGGGGCGGGCCTCAGCCTCTCCTCATCCTGTAAAACTTTTGAACGGGGAAATATGTTAATGGTGTCAAAATGGGGTCTTGCCTAGAGTTTACTAAGCTATAATTTATCAGGGTGACTCGATCTGGATAGCCCGGTTCCCCTCTTTTGAAACATCCGCTGTCATTTCTCTTGTTGCTTATGCTTCGTCTCTCGCCACGTGCCACTCTTTTTCTCATTCGATGGCTTTTCTGTCTTTTTGATGACCCTCTGTAGCAGTCTGGGAAACTTCATAGCACCTGATGTGCCATAACTGTGTGTGAATTCAGCAAACAGCCAACCCTTAGTAATAGTTCAGAGAAGCTTTCTGGACAAGGAAAACGGCATAATTTTGTCAGAGCTTTGCTCACCTGCCAGCCTTCCTTCCTACATTCCTTCCTCCCTTCCTTCCATTTTCTTTCTTTAAGGATCTTATAATAATCCGTTTCTGAACTCAGTGTGCATATCGGGTTGCATTAAAGTTACGGAAATGATGAATTAATGAATATTTTTTTAAATGTCTGCATGGTCCGCTGTCAAGAATTGAACAGGTTGAATGTTCATTTCACAGTATGTGAATAGATTTTGGGGTCAAAACTAAGTTATATACCTTTGTGCTCCTTATCAGAAATGGATTGTGAACTATGATGACTTAATCAGGAAATTCCAATTTTGTCTTCTTTTTTAATCCTGTGAAGTCATTCTGCTATACAAAATGATGATTGTAATTTTCTTGGATGACTGTTTCGGTATTGACCTGAACTAGAGATTTTTCCTAGTAGTACGTTTTGACATCAAACTTCATTTTGTTTCTTCCTCTCTTAGATAAAGCCTCGGCGATATGAAGGTAAGTTTTTTGGCTTTAGTTTTCATTGTCGTAAATTCTCAGTACCGGTGTTTGATGTGGGTATAATTCGACTAGGGGTAAATATGGTGACTTCTGATGTCTAAGTGACTTGTTAACTCCTGAAAATCATTCTCTTTCCCATGTGGAGTCTAAGTGACAATGTGGAGGGTGTTGCCATCTCTTAGGAGACCAGGAGGAGGTATACCTCATGGGAGTAGGGAGAATAGAAAGAGTAATTTTGCAGAGACATGTTTAGGAGGCATGCGATGATAGGAGCCTGAGGTCTGGAGTGAGTACTATGCCATGACCTGGCTCTTGGCGAAATGTCAAGATGAGAAAACACTCTTTGAGTCTAACAAGCAGGCTACACTTAGAGAAGGAGCCACATATTGCCAGACAGAGCGTGTGTCACAAGAGAGGTTTAAACCATGGTTTTGAGTCTGAAGTGGAGGGAGCCTTTCCTGCCAGGGGAGAATGAGTGGAAAGGAACGTGTGCCAGTGGGGCTGATGTATCGTGTCGGGCCTCATGGATTGTGATGATTCCACGGTGCTGTCTGTTGACGGCCAGGGTGGCTGCCTGGCACATAGCAAACCCTCGAATGCTGGTGTTCGTCCCTGTGAGTGCAGCAGTGGGCGTGGTGAGAAGAGAGATCTCAGGGCAGGAGAGCGCTCACATTGGGCCACTAGAAGAGAAGTTTGCACTTTGAGGTAAGATGAGAGAATTATTATTTTTTAAAAGATTCTGTTTATTCATCTGACAGAGAGAGCACAAGCAGACCGAGTGGCTGGCAGAGGGAGGGGGAGAAGCATGCACCCCACTGAGTGCAGACCCAGATGTGGGACCCCAGGGCCCAGAGTGGAATCATGACCCGATGTGGGATCGTGACCCAAGCTGAAGGCAGACACTTAACCGACTGAGCCACGCAGGTACCCCAAGATGAGAGAATTAGGAGCCAGTTAGAGGAGTCTGTGTTCTCGACCTTCGATGTGTTATCCATCTGTGATAGGGCGCTTCATGAGTGTGGTTTTCCTGTCAGGGTAGAGGGTAACCTTCTCATGTTGGGATGAGAAAAGCTTGTGTTCCAGGGAGTGTGAGTTATCCAGGCCCTCCAGAGACTGTAACGTGGAGTTTGTACCCGAGTGTGTTTGATTCCAAAGGTCTTGTCCTCCAGAGCCCCTGCCTAGGGTTCATGACAGGCAATCTGTGAGCAGCAGAAAGTCACTGAAGGCCTTGGAGTTGTCACTCAATTGCCATTTTGAGCTTTCCTTGTGTGGAATTCCAAGGAGGATCTGGAAACGGACATGGCGCTGAGCAGGAGCAAAGGATGGTTTTGTTCATTTTGGGTTGTTGGCAGGGACCTATTTTTGTACCTTAATCATTGGAGGAGAGAAATGTTAGTTGACAGGATGCTTGATTTTTCTGTTACATATCTGGGGATGACATCAGCATTTGCAGTGATTGCATTTTCCAAGACTGGTGCTTACAGATGGGAGTAAACGTAGAAGACATTTGAGGGCGTTTCTCTATCTTTGAAAAAAATTTAAGTAGGAATCTCCCCAAAATAGGTTGTCTTGGGTTTCAAATGCTGCTAAAACTTGCTTCCTTAGGGCACAATGGGAATGCTAACAAGTTAGTTACACCCGAGTGTCAGAGAATGTGTCTCTGGTGCTCATACACTGGGATTATTCAATGTCACTCGTTTTGCTAATTATCTTTGCGATTCTTTTTTCTCCTTTTAGTAACCTTACAACAAATAAATGAGAAGATCCATCGACTTAGGACAGAAAACAGGGAGCTTGCTCAGGAAATATCCCTTTGGGAGCTGAAGGTATCAGTGCCTTTTCAAATACTTTTTGTGATTTCATTTTGGTTACTTCCACCTCTTGTAGTTCATCCTATTGACCTATTTCATGTGATCCAGAAATGGTCCTGATTCAAGAGAAGCTTCACGAATGTAGAGCACTGCCTCTCTATTTTGAAAGGAGTCACACATTAGTAGATAGGTTTGTGTAACACGATGCTATTTTGGAATTCTGTTTCCTTTTTTCATATGTTTTATAGATCCGGGAAGGCAAGAAGCATGTTGCAGAAACTAAGAGTGAACATAAGTTTCTCTCTGAGGAAGTTCTTAAATTGAAGGTAAGAATCCCTTCTTTGCCTGAATTGTGTCCTAACAACAGAAATAAAAGTAATGAATTATCATCATTATCATTATCACTATTATTATTTTAAACATTGATTGATTGATTTGAGAGAGAGAGAAAGAGTGAGTGGTAGGGGACAGAAGGAGAGAGAGAATCCCAAGCTGACTCCATGCTGAGTGTGTGGCCTGATGCAGGGGTCCATCCCAGAACCCTGAGATCAGGCCTTGAGCCAAAACGAAAGCAGGAGTCAGACACTCCACCGACTGTGCCACCCAGATGCCACCCAGGTGCCCCAAGGAATGAATTATTATTACTCATTCAAAATGTTTTGTTGAAGGAGAACATCGAAAAGGTTGACGAAGTTAATGAAAATTTAAATGACACCCTTCGTTGGGCACTGGCTCACTTGCAAACTGAGAGAGAGAAGAAGGTCAAGAATCAGGATGTGGTAAGAGCTGGCTGTTGAGTTTTACCTTAATGTGGCCCCGGCAGGCTTTTGGTTCACTGGGTGAGATGAGTGCAGCATCCTCGCTTGCTGTTTAGCACAGTAGAGAGTGGGCCTCTGGGAACTGAAACTCCTACGGAGCAGTGAGCTGGGATTTCACTTAGAACCACCGTGATGGGGTTTGCTCTTATAAGGACTAGGAAGTATGGTTGATTTCACAGCGAGGTAATGATCACATCATTCAGCCCTGCCCTCCAAGATATGTAGAAAATCCCCACAAGACACTTGAGCGATGAAGGGCGATGGCTGACCCAACTGTGCAGTCCCTTCGTCTCTTAATGCCAAACAGAGCATTTTCAATGTGAATAGGGGAAGATGTGTATATATGTATGTATGTGGATATATATATGAAGGAAAGCCACTAAGAAAGTCATTTGTGAGTTCTTTGACGTGAACTATTTTCCACTTTGCTTACTTCCTCCTTGTTCCATTATGCCTTAAGGGCTTTCTTTGTTGCACTGCATGATCCTGTGCAGGAGGAGGGTGTCAGACACCCTCACGTTGTTCTGTGATCATGATTTCCTGAATGTCTTTTCTCATATCTGTCTTGAAGGCCCAAGATGCATTCGAGGATGGAGAGCAGAGAGCCTTTAGGGCCAAAAAACGAGAACTGCAGGGTATGTTCTTTTGGGGGAAGAAATCCGCATATGGTGGCAATGAGCTTGCATTGGGAAGGGAAGGAATGCCTTCCTGCCTTCAAGGTCTTGCCCTTCTCCTTTCCCTATCAAACCGAAGTTCTCCGGTCATGTGCACATACACACACAAAAGAAAACTCATCCTTTCCAGAATGTCGACGATTGTTGGAAGACCATTGCAATGCCCTGAGTTCTTTGAAAACAACTCAAGAAGCCGAACTGAAAATGCTGAGGAGGAAAGTGGATATCGTGGTGGATTTCTCTAAACAAAGACAAGCGGCTGCCGAAGAGTAAGCTATTCTTGTGTGAATTGTCACCAATACTATTGTATGAATTTAGGTGACGGCCAGTCTAGATAAGTGTATTTCTTTTAGAATTGGATCTAGAGTATTTTTGCCAAATGCATTCTGTAGAATTGTGCCTGCCCTTGCTGCCTTGATGTGTGTGACCTGCATTTCCCTTTGTGTTCTGACTGCTTGTCACGCTTGTTGTGTGACTCCTTGGAGTAGAAGAGGGAAGGTACCCTCCTTAAAACCTTTGATACCTGGATCCCCTCTGGGTCTGTCTGCCTTGTCCTTTTGGTTTCCGTGTCATCACATGTTCTTATTAGCCCTGAATTCAGTCACTTTTGGTTCAGTACGAGCCTTGGGTCAATAATGGGGATAGAAAAATGGAATTGTCTTGCTGCGGAAACACTGGGAGTCTCCTTGTGGAAAGTGGGTTGGGGCTCCAGCAGTCCTGGATGCCTTCATCCAGTATACAACTGACATCACTCACTGTCGCCCAGTCCCTAAGAAGGCCAGGGTATTTCCCATCCACCGGATTTTTTTAGGTGTAACTCTCCTGGGTCCCAGCCAAAGCCTGCGGGTTCACTAGGGCTCACCTTGGCTGGCTGACCCTGAACTTCACTCGTTTCCTTCTAAGCCCATGCCCATAAAGTTGTTCAGCTTCTTTACAGTTCACTTGCCTGTTCCAGAATGTATTGATGTGTCCTGGGGAGATTGGCTCCCACTGCCAGGCTGGCTTTCTCCTAGGCTTCCTTCTTCTCCATCTGGTTCTCGTGTTTCTTCATGTACTCTTTAGAAATTGGGTGCATTCCCTCACGAGTTTGCTCTTTTGTCCAGTGTTTCCTTTCTTTTCTCAGGAGGAGATCAGGACCTTAGAGTCCCTCATTCACGTTGAAAAGCAAAACTGTTCCCTGTCTTCCCTGGAGACTCAGCTTTGTGTTATTCCTTCCCACAGCGGGGATGGGGGCTGCTCTGTGTCACTGGCATCTTGGTTCAGTTCATTGGAAATTTCTTTTGGGGGTGGGTACAGTGTCCTGACCACCTTTCTGTCTTCTACACCTTCCAACTGAGCCACTCCATTACAGCCGCTCCAGAAAGCATTTGCTGAAGGATTGCCTGAGAGACCAGAAGCAAATGCATGTGTCTTTCTCTGTCGGGAGCTTTTGACTCAGTTTCTAAGAGTCTTTTGGCATGTGATCTTGAGGAAATGAGGTGTCCTCTTGAAACCCTTTAAATCAACACCATGAGCAAAAGAGTCTGAGGGCAGCACAGCAAAGCAGCCTTTTTAAGCATCGCACGTTGCTGCCTTCACTATCAGTGAACTCAGTCTTGTTAAAGTCGGTTGACTCCATGCAATTGATAGTTTTCCATCTGAAATCTGTTGCGTGGAGATAACACACTGGCTATGTGACAGTTCACAGCCTTTTGCGCTTCAGGACATATTGCTGGTACTAAGATTGGCCTCTTCAAAGGAGGAGGCAGGGGTTGTAGTTGTAGACCCAGAGATGTCTGGGAGTGAGTTGCCATGCTGATGAAGCCATATTCTGGAAGGCTTCCTTTTGGGTTCATTTTGTCAGGCACAGCCTTGGTCTGAGGATCAGGGCTCCCCATGGAGGTGTACGACTAACGATGGTCCCCTGCTTCATCCTATAGTTGGTCAGGCTTGGTTTTTCACTTTGAACTGAAAGGAGCCTTCACCGTCTCCGACAAAAGACCAACTCTGAGAGGACACAAGCTGCAATGTTACTTGAGGAGTTGATAATGAAGTAGAGAAGTGTAAAGACAGCTCCGATTGCAAGGGACTTGGCAGCATCCAGAGTCTGATTTTTCTTTAACCCTAAATGGGACCTTCAGTTCATTTCCCTCCTTGTGTTGTCAGTCTGTGCATTTATGAGGGACATTGGAATCTAGGCCATCCAGTGTGCTGGGAGGAATGACGGCAGAACTTCTGGATCTTGGCTACTGGACCATGTCTATACCTTTCCTGTCTTAGGAAGGTTGCAAAGACCCGCTGTGACCTGGAGGCAACAGAGAGTCAGCTGTCCGCTGCCATGGAAAATCTGAAAGGAATCACAGAAGCAACGGACAAGTACAAGTGAGTTCAGACACTGAATATTAGCGGCTCCTGAAATCCCTGTTCACTTTGTATTTTTAACTTTTCTTCATTGTTTAGACTCAATTCACATGTAATATAAACAAAAATTCAGAGGCATATCCGGAGAGAATTAACAGACACAAAAAGTTAAGCTCTAGAAAGAACAAAGCAATTTCATTACTAAACATGTCCTGATCCCCAGCGCTGGCCTGATTCTGTGGAGCCTTCTTCCACGCCATCGTCCCTGGGGGTGGTGTCAGTTGTCCTAATCTGGAGGAAAGCAGTTTGTCGTAGGATGCATCCTACCCATAAGCCCGGCAGGGCCATCTGATGGCGCTGGTCTTTGCCGCCCTGGGAGCCATGGCGAGGATAGAAGTTGCCCAGCACACTTGATGGCACCCTTGTCACGTGATAAATTAGGGCGAGATTGAAAATGGGTAAGGAAATTATGTCAACTCTGCACCCTGCAGGGGAAGAAAAATGATTACGGAAAAGAGGTAACAATAGCTTTGATCCTACTGTACATTATAACCATGTGAAAAGTGTTTCCTGTGTGAGGATCAATTGTATGAGGGGACAGATAAGAGGAGAATGGCCACGTGGGCAGATGATTTAAAATCACAGCCAATATTGGGTGTTATCTGACGAGAGCACTTATAACTCACAGGCAAGAAATTGGAGAGATGCAAGATCAGCTGCAGGAGGCAGAGCTCACCTTCCAACACAAGGTAACCTGAGTTGTGCCCCAACCTCCTGGCCCCTTAGCGCCTCCTGCAGGTGATGGAAGTGGCCCTTCGATCCCCCAACATGGGCTCTTGGTGTGTTGACTTTTTCAGATCGCAGCTCATGAGAGAAGTGCTCTAGATAATTGGGTAAGTGTTTTCTTTTTCCTCCTCTTCGTTTGGGGCCCAGTCCGGCACAGCTGAAGGTGGATGTGTTTTTCTCCCCCAGATCAAGGCTCAGGTTTGGGAGAGGAAGATAGTGCAGCAGAGGAGGGAGAACGCCTATGTGAAACACAGGTGTGTGATTTTGACGTGCCTTTTTCTGGGCGTCTTGAGGGGTCAAGGCTAAGCTGTTTAGTGTCTAGTAGAGGACATGGTGGTGTCATTCTTATAGACGTCCATTCTTTTTCTGTCTTCAAGACTGCACATGATGAGGAGAGAGATGCTGCCTGAGGGATCCATGAGGCAGGAACCGATGCCGGGAAGACCTGAGACACAGAACCGTGTGCAGAGAGGTAGGGAGCGTGCTGTGAAATGCAGCAGCCTGATCTCTGCTGGGAGAGCACATGGTGTCCTTCCCGTTCCTGTGGGTGATCACTGTGTGTCCTGGAGAGAATCACAAGCACTACCTAAGGACAGCAGGTTGTCTGAAGGGGTGACAGGAGGGTGCTTTCCTCAGGTGCCCACCGGCCGCAGGGCACCTGTCCCTGTGACAGGTGGAGCTCATGCCCCTCCCGTGACTGCAGACCCTCCCACCTCCTCTACCACCCACCTACTGAAGAGCTGAGCCTGGAGGAGTTGTGGGCCCGAGCTCCCTTCCCACCTTGATGCAATGGTGAAGACTTTTTGGAAAAAAAGAAATGGAGAAAAATGGCATTTATTTACTCTTTATGGAGGTTCCTTGATTTTTGTTTTATTCGTCATCTACAGTCCTATATTAATCCATGAAATTCATGCATTTTACTCCTCTAATGTTATCGGTATAAAGCCACAGCTTTACTTCTCAATCTGCCTATTTTTACTTTGCTCCTGGCTGTACGATTAGTGTACTCCAATTCTTCTCTTCAATATTTATGTAATAGCCAGCCACACATGCTAGGCCTCATCTATAGACTGAAGGATTGAACCATCAACTGGCGGCCTGAGACGAGAATGCATGCCGTTCATGTTGAGGGTTTATCCATTTTTAGCTGGTTGAGCCCAGAGCAGTCTACTGCTGTCCCCTTAGCTATGAAAACACCTGAAGCAAGCTGGGCGATGGTGGTCCCATCCTCGAGGGGGAGAGGCAGAGGTCTCCCCCTTGTCCTCAGGGGTCAGCAGAGACCTTTGAGAAATGCTGTGTGTCTGAGAAGGGACCCAAGAGTGGGACAGAGGGCAACGTGTTAGGGGCGGGTTTGGAGGGTTGGTTTGATTTCTGCACAGTCAGTGCTGGTCTGAATCCACCTCCATCTGTTCTAGGGCTTTGGTCTGATGCTGAAACTGGTGGGTCTCCCATGGGGAACAGGGGCACCGAGCCTCACAGAGACCCAGGGATGAGCAAGGTAACTACTGTGGCCTCTACCAGGTGTTCCGGAAACTTTTCCCTTTCTGAGCAGCACCCTGTCCTGGCCTTGTGTCTGTTGGGTGGGTTAGGGTTTGTCTGTGGTGTCGTTCACCTTTCAAAATACAAGCAGTTCACCCGGGGGCTGACAGGCTTCTCCATTACAGATCCTCACCTTCGGTGGCACCTCCTGAAGCCACGGGTGCTTAGAGGTGAAGGATGGCAGGGCGCTCACTGTGTGTGCGTGTGTGCTTGTGTGTGTGAGTGTGTGCGTGCGTGTGTGTGTTTGTGTCCATCCGTCCACCCCTGCCCACGCACAATGCCTGTGGGGGAAAGTAGCTCGAGGAGGATGACACGTCACTCCACAGTGAAGTCTCTGGCCGGCCTGACTGCCAGTCAGTAGGTTCCGATCAGGTGCGATTGGTGTAGTGTTCATGTTGGGGTTCGATGATTTACCTGTGCCAAGGTCTGGGGTAATCCTCACAACTGGAAACTAGGGGAAACTCTCTCTCCATTTTCTATTGTCTGTTTTGCAGTTTGGAATGTTCTTAGATAGGGCAAGTTTCATAAGTCATCCCTGTTTTCCTTCTGCTGGTACAAATGCTGTACAGAATCCCTCTACTTGTACCCTTTCAACGACTGTTGTGAATTTCCAAAGTGGGGGGTGTCCTGGCACACACATTCTGAAGCGGGGATGTCGGTGATTAGCTGCATGACCCGGGCCTCACAAGCCCTGCAGTTGGGCTTCTAGGAGCAGGTCCTTTTGGTCTTAGGTCACTGTGAGAGCTGGTTTCTTCTCTCATCACACGCTCTGGAGTTGTCCGTCAGAAAGCATACACATTTTTGTGAATTCTCAAAATTCACAAAAGTTAGCCTTAGTTAGCCTTCCCATCTTAATTTCCCACTGGACAAAATTGCTCTGGAACTCAGTGTGCGGAAAATTCCAATGACTGTGTTTTAAGATAAACACAGCCGCTGCACGTAAATAAGGGCTATTGGTATCATGTTCCTCTCAGAAAACCCTCTTCCAGGTCCCCTATCAGACCACAGGCCCCTAAATCCTCAAGGGTCTTTGTGGCCTGGACAGAAACTGCAGAGAGTAGAAGACCGCTTTGTCAGGAAGTGAGGCAGGTGGGGACAGTCAGGGGCTTTGCAGGCAAGGGATTCACCTCGAGTGGCTCGGATTCCTTGTGGAGAAAGGGCATTCAGTTTCATCACATTCTGTCTATTCTTAACAAACCCAAATCTTCTGCGGTGGTTGAAGAGGAAAGATGAAGTGTTGTCCACGATGTCGATGCCTCCCTGTCTGGAGTGTGGGCTGCTTTACTTGTTTCCAGTGATCCCTTTTCACCCTTTAAGACTCTACTTCTTGGTAGTGAATGTTGGCAGACTTGGGTAGTGATGTTTGATGACAGTAGGTTATTCCTGTAACATCCTTTCTCCTTCCCCGTCCCCCCCCTTATGATAGTAGGCAGCAATTGGGAGGGACAAAGTTTTCTAGCATGACGTGGCTCTCCTGGAACGTGGTATTGGGGAAGGAGCCAGATGCTGAGAGCTTGCTCTTTGGGTTTCATCTCTTGGTGTTGCAACTTTTGGCTGTCTTACCCAAATATTTTGTCCTCTGTTCTGCAGGTCGGTACAGATGTGAGAGGGTTTCCTCATGCTCCAAGGCCCCCCCATATGCCCTACCACATGGGGCAGGGTTTACCAGGCTTCCCTGGCTATGGGCCACCTCCACCTCCTCCACATGGGTGGACATGGGGGCCTCAACCACAGCTCATTCCTGCTACACATGGTAAGATGATCTGAACTGGATGACCTGAATCGTAAAGCCTATTCATAGTTTAAGTACTTCTGTTGGTGGAGAAGATGTAGAGGAGGTACCAGAAGGCTTTGCAATGCAAGGATCGACCTGAGTGAGGACATAGTAGCATTCGTCACCTTTCTGTGGACATCCATTTCATGGACTGTCTTGTTTCACCCTACAGAAATGGGCAGCAGGTGTCTGCCATAGAGAAGAAAAGTGACAGTTTGCAAAGGACAGACATAAAAGCTTTGCCCATGGGCACTGCCCAGACACAATGTTTTGGGCCCTGGGATGGATGAAGCACAACCTCAAATCACTGTTACTTGTGGAGGCCCCAGTTGTCCAGTGTTATTCACTAGCTCTGAAAACATCTGTCACTGGGTGGACTGATCACATCCTCAGTTGTGGGGGACTTGTCTCTCCTTTGTCCGCAGGGGTGAGAGGAGACCTGTGAGAAATGCTCTGAATCTGGAAGGGATGTGGGAGTGGGAGAGCGTGGAATAGGGTGGGGCAGGTGTAGAGGGTTGGCTTGCATCCTGCATGGTCAAGGCCAGTCTGAATCCACCTCTGTCCCTTGCAGGGCTTCGGTCGTATTCAGAAACCTGTGGCTCTCAAGGGGACAACAGTGGCACCCCGCCCAAGAAGGTCCCACAGAAGGACTAGGTAAATACTGTGTCTTTTCTCAGGTGTAACCATTTCTGGAATGCTGTTCCTGTCTGGGCACCCTGTCCTGACCTGTGTCTATTGGGTATGTCCTGAGATCTGTGTGTGGTGTCATTGACCTTTCAATATGCCCAGTCTTCATTCGGAGCCTACAGACTTCTCTGTTTCCAAATCATCACCTTACGCGGGGCGTCCTGAAGCTCCACGTGCTTAGAAATGAAGGAGAGCAGGACCCTGCCCTTGTGTGTGTGTGTGTGTGTGTGTGTGTGTGTGTGTGTGTAAACTCCTGGAGGAGAGCAATATCTCACTCCACACTGAAGTCGGCCAGTCCCGCTGACTCCTTGCAGTTTGCTTTCCCGCGGGAGCGGTAGTGGTGTTGGGTTTCGGGTCAGGAGACTAAGCTGGGAGAATGTCTGCGGTAATCCTCACAGCTGGAAACGGGAAAAGCCATGCCCTGCCTCACACTTTGTGCCACGTGCTTTGGGCAGCTGTGAGTGTTGGTGGACAAGGTGAGCTGCGACCTCACGTGCGTTCCATCTGTGTGGGTAAAGACGCGACCCGGAATCCCTCCAGTTGCTCCCTGGGTGAGATGAAGGTGAACTCTGACAGGGGCCAGCTGTGTGGTAGAAAATGCCCCCCGGAGCACAGGCGTGAAGAGGGAATCCCGGTGACTCCCTGCAGGGCCCACGGCTCACACACGTTTCAGTCGTGCTCCCGTGAGCGGGTTCTGATGCGGTTTGCTGGCTGTGCCGACTGATAGCGTCTCTCCTGATCCACCCTGGGAGGGTCACGCCTGCTCTCCAGACACATTGGTTTGCATCCGGGGATGCAGAATGGGCCCTCAGTGGTTCTCGGCACCAAGGACTATGCATTTGCTCTGTGCCTGAGCTGAGGAGCATGGGAATGTCGGTGACGCAGATCCACAGAGCTGGGTCTCACGAATTCATCGGGATCGTGTTCTTCTCAGCACTTTTTCCGGTCTGCTGCAGGACTCCAGAAACTCCTGTCTCCTGAGCGGTGTCTGTGGCCATGGACAGCACTTGGGAGAGTAGAAGAAGACCCCTTTGTCAGGGAGGGAAGCGGAGCAGGGTCAGGCGGGGGCTGGTGGACAGCAGTTGGACCCACGAGGGGCTGTGTTTCCACGTGTGGACACTGGGCTTCTCTGGACTTCTCACCGTGCTGACCCCTGCTTCTTTGGGTTTCAGGTTGATGGGGGTTCTGCTTCTGTCTGTCATAGCAACATTCCTTTGGTTTCTGTTCTGCAGAACCCTGTGGATGCAAGAGGACCTGCTCCTGTACCCGGCCCACTGGGTCCACCATACCCCATGGATCCCCCTTCATCACCATCCTGGGGCCCTGGGGCACATCTCCCTCCACCCACCCAGTGGTCTCTGCATCCTTACCCTGCACACGAACCTACACCACAGGGTTTGATGATATGAATTGTATGATTTGACTTATAATCTGTATTGTCTTCTTTCTTATTGAGTTGGTGGGGCAAAGGCCAAGTTTGTGCTGAGGCCTTGACATTGGGAGGGGAAAACCACCTGGGGGCGCTGTAACATCCTGAAGTTTCTCAGGACATACAGGTGTTGTGCTGGGCTATTTCCACACACTGAGCGGGGGGAGGTGCCGTTGTTGGGAAGGAAGTGTCTCTATCGCACAATGGCAGACATATATTTCTTACCGTCGGGCACGTCCAGAGTCCACAGTTGTTGTTCTGGGCGGGATGAAACACACCTCTCACTTTGTTTTCAGCGTGTTGAGTTTAAGCTCTCATTTCCTCAGTTATATAAACACCTGAAGCAGGGCTATGGTCCCTTGATTAATCATTAGGGCAGGGGTCTGTCCCTTGTCCTCGGCAGTCAGTGGATACTTGTGGGAAACCCTCTTGTCCGGTAAGGGAGGTGAGAGTGAGAAACAGTGGCAGATGCTGGAGGCAGGTGTAGATGGTTTGTTGGAATGTTGCTCAGTCACTTCCAGTGGGATGGTCTTCCGTCTTTTCTCTGACGTGGGTCAGATACAGACGCTGGGGCATCCTCCATAAGGAATAGCAGTCCTGCATGCAGGCCTCTCATGTTATGGGAGAGTGAATGTTGCTAAGGACATGATCACTTTCTTCAGGTTGCTCAGGAGACGCCTTTGAGGGACTTTGTCTTTCACTCATACTGAGGTGGTTGGCAGGTCCCTTTCTGGTGAAGGAGAGCCGCTCTTCTCCAAAAGCTGGGCACAGCAGGTATGCGCATGCACACTGTGCAGAGACGCTATTCTGTGCTCTGGGAGGGATGAGGAGGGAACTTCAGGTGTCTGAGAGCAACGAGGGACACATTCATTAAACGACAGAGAGGTTGTGTTCCGTATAAGGGAAGCCCCAGCGATGGATCTGAAGGACCAGAGAGGGAGCCATGAGTCACTAGAAACAGGAGGCTGTGGTTGAGAAGGATGGAGGTGCTCAGGGGAGTGGATGGGCCTCTCTCGGGTAGAGCGGAGGCCGTTCCTGCAGGCCAGCAGCTTGAGCAGTGAGTGTGAGGACACCGTGAGATCCACACTGAGCTGCTGCCTGTGTCCATCACACAGCGTGGATGATGCAATTATTTGTATCAGAACGTCATGGTTGCCATAAAGCTGTTCGTTCATAATCTATAAGGATTGTTGTTTCCTCTGAATTTCTGAAGGTTCTGAACTGGGTGAAAGAATGTGGTGGAGACTTGGGAAATTGAACTCGGTTCCTTTGGGGAATCTTGTCTGCCTGAGTTTGTGGGCCCCAGTGAGAAAAAGTGAAGACGGGACCAAGACCAGCAGAGTGGCTGCCTTGGCCTTCAGCCTGAGTCAGACTCTTCGTGGGGAATTCAGGATTGACCAGGAGCCACCCTCGCTGGATCCCTGTCACTACGCCTCTGCATCTGAGTCACCGCCGTGCCTTCACTTTGATTCTCCCTGAACTTTGGTCACAGTATCCTGTGGATTTACCTGTATTCCTGCCTGAATGCCTTGTTAGTGTAGAAGAAAGCAACTAATTTCTGTACATTGATTTTGTATCCTGCCACATTACTGAATTGCTGTATGAGTTCTAGTAATGTGGGGTTGAATCTTGGGTTTTCCACATAAAGTATCATGTCATCTGTGAAAAGAGAGAGTTTGACTTCTTTGCCAGTTTGAATACCTTTTATTTCTGTTTGTTGTCTGATTGCTGTTGCTAGGACTTCTAGTACTATGTTGAACAGTAGTGGCGAGGGTGGGTATCCTTGACGTGTTCCTGATCTTAAGGGAAAGGCTTTTCCCCATTGAGGATGATATTCACTGTGGGTTTTTCATAGATGGATTTTATGAACTTGAGGAATGTTCCCTCTATCCCTATACTCTGAAGAGTTTTAATCAGGAAAGGATGCTGTACTTTGTCACATGCTTTTTCTGCATCAATTGAGAGGACCATATGGTTCTTCTCCCTCTTATTAATGTGTTCTATCACATTGATTGATTTGCGAATGTTGAACCACCCTTGCATCCTGGGGATAAATCCCACTTGGTCGTGGTGGATGATCCTTTTAATGCATTGTTGGATCCTCTTAGCTAGGATTTTGTTGCAGATTTTGGAATCCATATTCATCAGGGATATCAGTCTGAAATTCTCCTGTTTGATGGAGTCTTTGCCTGGTTTGGGGATTAAGGTAATGCTGGCCTCATAGAATGAGTTTGGAAGTTTTCCTTCCATTTCTACTGTTGAAACAGCTTCAGTAGAATAGGTATTATTTCTTCTTTGAATGTTTGGTAGAATTCCCCAGGGAATCCATCAGGCCCTGGACTCTTGTTTTTCGGGAGGTTTTAGATCACTGCTTCAATCTCGTTACTGGTTATTGGCCTATTCAGGTTGTCAATTTCTTCCTGTTTCAATCTTGGCAGCTTATAGGTTTCCAAGAAGGCCTCCATTTCATCCAGATTGCTCAGTTTATTGGCATGTAGTTTTGATAATAATTTCTAATAACTGTTTCTATATCCTTGGTGTTAGTCATGATCTCTCCCCTTTCATTCATAATTTTATTAATTTGGGTCCTTTCTCTTTTCTTTTGGATAAGTCTGGCCAGTGGTTTATCGATCTTATTAATTCTTTCAAAGAACCAACTTCTAGTTTCATTAATCTGATCTACTGTGTTTCTGGTTTCTAATTCATTGATCTCTGCTCTAATCTTATTTCTCTTCTAATGCATGGCTTAGGCATCATTTGTTGCCTTTTCTCTAGTTCTTTAAGGTGTAGAGTTAGTTGGTGAATTCGGGATTTTTCTATTTTTTTGAGTGAGGCTTGGATGGCTATGAATATACCCCTTAGGACCATCTTTGCAGTATCCCATAGGTTTTGGACCGATGTGTTTTCGTTCTCATTGATTTCCATGAATTGTTTAAGTTTTTCTTTGATTTCCTGGTTTACCCAAACATTCTTGAGCAGAGTGGTCTTTAGCTTCCAAGTGTTTGAATTTCTGCCAAATTTTTTCTTGTGATTGAGTTCCAGTTTTAAAGCATTACCATCTGAGAATATGCAGGGAATAATCTGTCTTTTGGTATCGGTTGAGACCTGATTTGTGACCCAGTATGTGGTCTATTCTGGAGAAAGTTCCATGTGCGCTTGAGAAGAATGAGTATTCTGTTGTTTTAGGGTGGAATGTTCTGTATATACCTATGAGGTCCATCTGGTGCAGTGTGTCATTCAAAGCTCTTGTTTCCTTGTTGGTTTTCTGCTTAGATGATCTGTCCAGTGCTGAGAGTGGAGTATTGAGGTCTCCTACTATTAAGGTATTCTTACAATATGACTCTTTATTTTGGTTAACAGTTGGCTTATGTAGGTGGCTGCTCCCATGTTGGGGGCGTATATATTTACAATTGTTAGATCTTCTTGTTGGATAGACCCTTTAAGAATGATATAGTGTCCTTCTATGTCTCTAACTACAGACTTTAGTTTAAAATCTGCTTTGTCTAAGAATTGCTACCCCAGCTTTCTTTTGAGGTCTGCTGGCATGGAAGGTGGATCTCCATCCCTTCACTTTCAGTCTGGATGTATCTTTAGGTTCAAAATGAGTCTCTTGTAGGCAGCATATGGATGGGTCCTGTCTTTTTATCTAATCTGCAACCCTGTGCTGTTTTATGGGAGCATTTAGGCCATTCATGTTGAGAGTGATTATTGAAAGATATGAATTAATTGTCATCATGTTGCCTGTGAAGACTGTTTTTATAGATTGTCCCTGTAAATTTCTGTTGTAGATCACTCTTGGGGTCTTTCTCCTTTTATAGAACCCCCCTTAATATTTCTTGCAGGGCCGGCTTAATGGTCACATATTCTTTCAGTTTCTGCTGGTCTTGGAAGCTCTGCACCTCTCCACCCATTCTAAATGACAGCCTTGCCAGATAAAGTATTCTTGGCTGCATGTTCTTCTCATTTAGTACCCTGAATATATCATGCCAGCCCTTTCTGGCCTCCCAGGGCTCTGTGGATAGGTCTGACATTATTCTGATGTTCCTCCCTCTTTATGTAAGGAATCTCTTCCCCCTAACTGCCTTTAAGATGGTTTCCTTGGTTCTAAGGTTTGCGACATGCTGGGGTGTTGGCCTGTTTTCCTTGATCTTGGGAGGGGTCCTCTCTGCCTCTAGGACACGAATGTTTGTTTCATTCCCCAGATTAGGGAAATTCTCAGCTATGATTTGTTCAAATACATCTCCCCGTCCCCTCTCTCTATCCACTCCCTCCGGGATTCAAATTTTGCTGACATTGGAACGCTTCATGGTGTCACTTATTTCTCTGATTCTATTTTCATGGATTCTGAGTTGTTTTTCCCTGGTCTCCTCTTTTCCCTTTTTATCTATTATATTGTCTTCCAGGTCGCTTATTCATTCTTCTGCCTCACTTACCCTAGCTGTTCGATTATCTAGATTGGATTGGATCTCATTGATAGCATTTTTAAGTTCTGCCAATTCAGCTTTCATTTCTGCCCTTAGAGACTCTATGTTGCCATTGACTGATTTCTCCATTCTAGCCATTGTCTTCACAATTGCTAGCCTGAATTCCATCTCCCACATCTTGGTTATATCTGCATTCATTTCTAAATCTACAGCATAAGTCATAATCTCTGAGTCTTCTATTTTGGGGGTTCCTCCTCCTAGTCATTCTGTTGATGGATGTTTGAGGGAATGTATAGAGTCCAAATTATTGACCAGAACCCAAGGAAGATGCACTTGTTTTCTTGGGACCTTAGGGTTGCTGGCCTCTTGTTTTCCCAGCCTGTCTTCTGGGGGAGGGCCCTGTTGCGCTGTTACTCAGGCAACCCTGTTTGGGCGGAGTTGCCCTGCCCCCCTGTGGCGGGGGATGGGCTCAGCAGGAATCAGTTTTGGGGGCTTTTGTTCTCTGGCAGCTTTCCCTGGCACCTTTCTGCGTCTCTTCCACGAGCCAGAGCAGAAGAGACTGTTTCCAACCCTCTGCCTCAGAGCAGAGAGATCGCAGTCTGTTCTTCAGTGAGGTCTCCAGGCCACACTGTCTCCGTTTCTGTCCGTGCTGCTATAAACTGCCGCACCTTGGTTGTGCGCCCCTCCGCAGGACCCCCAGTCCTGCCTCCGGGTCGGGGCACGTCTCTGCCCTTTATGCTTCTAAAACCACCAGTCGCTCCCAGTGCACCTGTGCGACCCTGCTGCTCTGGGTTTCCGCCCCGAGGGCTGCCCTAAAGTTCTTTCCCCACCACTACCGGTCTGCGAGTCTGTGCCCCATCCCCAGCACACAAGGCAGTCACTCACCAGCAGTGTAGAATCCCCACGGCCAGGCACCCTCCCGCTGCCATTTATCCTCTGATATCTGCCCACGGAATCAGGGCTTCTGGCTTCATACCTCAGAACCAACCGCCTGTGATATTCTGCTTGTAGAGATCCAGATCTTCTTACATCTCAGGCTGGTTTCGTGGGTGCTCAGAGTGGTCTGGTAGATATCCAGCTCAATTCCAGGGACCAGTTGAAATAGGGTTCCCTACGCCTCCACCATCTTTCCTTCCTCCTTGTTTTTTTTTTTTTTCAGTTTCGGGTATCATCTGATTTGCTTAGTGTATATTTCTCTGGGGTTGTTGTTGCCATTTTAGTATTTCTCTCATTCATCCATTCTTCGCTGGACAGAGGGACAAGATGGAAAAACTCACCTCAAAAAAGAGAACAAGAGGCATTACTGACTGCCAGAGATCTAATAAGTATGGACATAAGATGTTGGAACCAGAGTTCAGAATAAAGATGATAAAGATACTTGCTAGGCTTGAAAAAAACATAGAAGACACTAGAGAATCCCTTTCTGGGGAAATAAAAGAACTAAAATCTAACCAAGTCAAAATAAAAAATGCTATTAATGAGATGCAATCAAAAATGGAGACTGCTAAAATAAATGAGGCAGAAGAGAGAATTGGTTATATAAAAGACTAAACTATGGAGAATATGGAGGTGAGAAAAAGAGAGGAAAACAACTACTGGATCATGAGGGGAGAATTGGAGAGATAAGTGATGCCATAAAGTGAAACAATAATAGAATAATTGGGATCCCAGAAGAAGAGGAAAGACGGAGATGGGGGGCGGGCAGAAGGTATATTGGAGCAAATTATAGTGAAGAACCTCCCTAACATGGGGAAGGAAACAAGTATCCACGTCCAAGAGGCACAGAGAACCACCCTCAAAATTGATAAAAGTGGGTCAACACCCCAACATCCAATAGCGAAACTTGCAAACCTCAGAGACAAAGAGAAAATTCTGAAAGCAGCTCCGGATAAGAGGTGGTTCACCTACCAGGGTAGAAACAGAAGACTGGCAGCAGACCCATCCACAGAGACCTGGCAGGCCAGAAAGGATCGGCATGATATATTCATGGTGCTCAATGAGAAAAATATGCAGCCAAGAATACTTTATCCAGCAAGGCTGTCATTCAGAATAGAAGGAGAAATAAACAGCTTCTAAGACTAACGGAAACTAAAAGAACTTGTGATCACGAAAACAATCCTGCAAGAAATATTAAAGGTGATCCTATAAGCAAAGAGAGAGCCCAAAAGTAACACAAACCAGAAAGGAACAGAGACGATATACAGAAAGAGCGCTTTTATAGGTAATACAATGGCACTAAATTCATATCTTTTAATAGTTACTCTGAATGTAAATGAGATAAATGGACAATCAAAAGATACGGGGTATTGGACTAGATGAAAAAGCAAGACCCATCCATATTTTGTCTAAAGAGACTCATTTTAGATGCAAAGACACGTCCAGATTGAAATTGGGGGGTGGAATCGTGCTAATGGACATCAAAAGAAAACTGGGGTAGTAACCCTTATCAGACAAATTAGATTTTAAACCAAGGACTGTAATAAGAGCTGAGGAAGGAAGCTATATCATACTTAAAAGGGTCTATCAAACAAGAAGATCTA